CCCTCACCATCCTCGTAGCCCTCTGCTGGGCTCTCTCCAGTAGCTCCTCATCTTTCTTGAACTGGGGAGCCCAGAACTGGACAGAGTACTGCAGATGAGGCCTCACCAGGGCAGTGTAGAGGGGAAGGAGAACCTCCCTCGAAATCAGGCTCAGAAAGCTGGATGTGGGATGCAGGTAGAGCAGGCGGCTCCCGGAGCAGGGGCAGGAGCTGGCACAGGTAATGCCAACCCACTATTGCCCTGGGCAAGGGTGCCTTGGCTTCGCAGAGCTTGTTTGGGCCGAACAAAGACGAGCAGAAACAACAGCTCCAGCAAGCACGCGATCAACATTTTCTGCGTGGTTTGAATTATCCCTGACTTTTGACCCAAGATTAAATCTAGTGTGTAACTGGTGGTTATATATTGAGTCATATGAGCAGGCTAATCGCAGGAACCCCGCGTTCTCCAAACAGCCTGCGCCTCGCCAGGGCCGACTGCAAGCCGCTCACGTTTTCCAGCCGAAGCACCCTGCGGCTTTTGCATCATCCTTTTCATTCTATACTTACAAAGCATTTTTTTTTTTTGTCCGACCAGTATCTCAAGCCCAGAACAAAACAAACCCAGCAACGCCGCAAGCGGCCAGCCCAAGGAAGCCAGATTTCCCATCAAGTTTTGCTGCTCGGTGGCTGCTCCAGTGTCTAGTAAAGGGCTGGGCTCACGCTGCAGCATTTTTCTCAGCAGGAGCTGTCTGTCCTCTCCATCAGCAATTCTCCTGATGCGCATAGAAATAGCCTTTTGACTTCTAGCTCTGTGTGCCGCTTGGGTGAAAATGAGCACTGGAGCCGGAAAATACCAGTGGGGGGTGAGTGGCAGGTAAATGGGCTCTCCCAGGGTGCGATGCCCCCCTCCATACCCACTGGGAAGGCAGAAGAGCTTGGCACAGCCTGGCCATGCCTCTCCCCAAACTGATTTTTCGCAGCTCTTTGCACCTCTCTCCCCTCTCGTTAGGGCTGAGGGAGGCTGAACCCATTCACCTCTCCCAGAGAGCCCAGGTAAGGGCCATAAAAAGCCGTTGTCAGCAACAGCGCTTGGGTAATACTCCTGTGAGTACAACCCTGCGGGCTCACCGGGGTGTTTCCCAGTGCCGGTGCCTGGGACGGGGCTGGCACAGCCCGTGTGTGCTGGAGCCCTTTGCCTTCCGTCTGCTCGGGCAGGCTGGGCAGTGGGGACAGCCTGGGGAATCACACAAGAATCCCAGCATGGCAGGGGTTGGAAGGGACCTCTGTGGGTCACCCAGCCCAACCCCGTGCCCAAGCAGGGTCACCCAGAGCAGGCTGCACAGG